GCTGGCACTGAGCCTCAGCTGTTTTTCTCCTTGTTTCGATGCTCCGCAGCTTTAAAACGTGGCCTTTGATGGCCATGAAAGAAAGGTATAAATAAAAAGGCATCCGGTGAAATAAGGTTTCTCTCCCTTTCTCATTGGATGCAATTTAGATCATTGCTGTTGGGGTGGATTTCTCCATTGAGTATCAGTTCACAACTTACTTTCAGCTGAAGACTGCCAAGGGCCACTTTTTCAAAAGTTGGGGAGGCCTGGATAAAAAGAAAATAGATTAAAAATACACGTGAATTAAATGAAATGCATTTAATATGGTTGATAAGATTATTCCCTGTGAATGTATTAATTTTCTTCTTATATTAAAAATTACAATTTAGTAACAGCTTCTGTGGGCCTTAGCAACATTATTTGGGGGACTGGTGACTCTAGGCCTCAAGTCATTCATCTGTGTAGGTATGCATGTATTTTTAGGGTTGTGTTCTTTCTTCCATTCAGGAGCGCAAGGTGGTATATATCACACTCCCTCCTCCAATTTTTTTATATCATGCTCTTTATTAGTTGATAGTCTTCACCTGTCTCCATGTATACAACATATAATTCTTGCAACAGAAATAAAATGAAGCCAGTTCCTGATCTCTGATAAGTGTTCTAGCATTCTTCAAAAGAAATAAGGATGACTTAAACATCCTTTAAAAAAGCAACCCGAATAATGGCCACACATACATCAAATGTTCAAAGCGCTTCATGTCACTTAGTCAATAATCAAAGTGACTTTCATCACAGTACCCTTGTAAGGTAACTCCAGATTATCGTCTCCTAATTACAGATGTGGGACAGAGGAAGGTAGAGATTATTATCTTTGGCCATCTCTGTTCTATCCTGGCTGAGTTGAGATGTGACACTCTCAACTTGCTTTCGTAGGGTCTGGTCCTGTGCGCATATGCTGAGAAGTGGCTTCTCCTGGCCCCTTACTCTTGGGTAAGCAACCTTAGCACTGCAGAAGTAGTTACTACACTTGGTGTAGTCCTGAACACCCTTGCTAGGCAGTTGTAATAGTACATGAGAAAGTCCTTGGGAGATGTGGAGAAGAGAACCTCACTAGGGAAAGGTCAGATAAGAGGCAGCATGGCCCGCAACTGAATAGTGGGTGGAGCAAGAGGCTCAGAAGAGACCCTCCCTAGTTTCTTGGGCTGTAAAGGGGACATGGGGAGAGATGTACTTTCAGACTTGCTACATTCTGTTAATGTTGCCTTACAATAAAGAAGAATGAGCTCATCTGGCTGTGTTTTCTGTCTGGTCTACCTCACAAGGCTGACATCAGTAGAGAAGTTAGTGGGATTTACTTCTAAGTGTTCATGCAAATGACGAGGTTGCAGGACTGGTCCACCTAATATCTGGAGAGCACCCCCTTTTCTGTGAAATGAAACTGAGAAGGCTTTGCCCTATCTTTGGTTTACTTTGGCATGTATCATTTCATTTTCTCTGTCTTTGTTTCTGGTTGTCTCTCTTACTCATTTTCCTGGAATGAGAGAGAGAAAAAAATGTATTCTTTTCAGTGTACTTCTGTACTTCCATTTATCCCTCCCCTTGCCACCTCTCATTTACAGGCCCTCTTTATTAGCAGCAAATATAGATGACATCATCAGCACTAAGGGGAGGAGAGGTCAGGTTTCAAAGTGGGGTGGGAGGAAAATTGAAATTGGTTGCAGTGACAAATGCTCCTCTGCCATGAAAAAAAAAAAGGAATCTTGCAGGTGAACCAGGATAGGGGTGGGCTAGTGCTTGGCCCAGTCATTGAGCGATTGGTTTATCAAATGGATTTTGTTGAAATGTGCTTTTAGCAACCCACGTTCCCTCACTTTCAAACCCATCATTTAATATGTCAAGCCCAGATTTTGTTGCATTCCCTTGAGTTTCCCAAGAAATGGCAGTGTTTCATGTTTAGAGGAATGGGAAGAGAAATGAGCATCAAGGGACCATCTGCAGGAGTTTTCAGCTTAAAAATCCCGGAATTCAGCTGCCAATTTTATTTTTATTTTATTTTGTTTTTCAGTGTTGCCTTTCGCTTTTCAAACCAGGATACAGCATGTAGCCCTCAGTTAGATGAGCAGGAACTGAGCTCTACATGAGAGCAGTTTCCTGCACTCGTAAGGTCATGCAATGTTAGCTCTTGGTTCAGAGGTGTACAACCTGAGGCTTTAGGACTGCATGAAAAAAATATAATCAAATTCTAATCCTCATTGTAAGAGGGTGAGAACCATTATCAAAACGTGCTGGCCGTACCTACTAAAATGTCAGGATCAGAAGGGCATGGAATTGGAGACACTTGTATCTCTACATCTTTACCAGAAAATTTCTAGCAGTGGTTGGTTCATTGACCTGTTATAACACATCACTACATACAGCTAGCAGAAATATAGAACTCACCCAGAGTCATTGCAAATCAAGACTTACTTATTGTATTTTTTATTTGTTCACCACCTGACTCCCAAGCTAACATCAAAACAGTTGACTAGCAAGAACAGGATTAAAAACATACCAAAGCAGGGAGAAAGAAAGATAGATTTACATTATCTACATATCTAGATCTTTCACGGCATCCTCTCTTAATGTTTAACCCCAATCCACCTTCCTGAGATTTAACCCTGTTACTCATTTTCCAAACATTTGGTTTCTCCCTTTTATTTTTTTGCCTCCTTTCACTCAGCTTTTACTCATATGCAAATGTAGAAATTGCACCTGAACGACACATTTATGGCTTGTCAGATGAATGATCTAATTTGAGGGACCTGATTCCTCTCAGCGTCTTACTAGTCAACCCCCGAACAACTTGTTGGTCTGACTAATCTAGAGTCTCTCTCGGCCTCCCAACAGAAAGCAGGGTTTGTGAAAGACGGTCATATGCCAGTCTGGGTGCTATGGGTCGAACCCTCTTATCGATGACTTCTTTTTCTGTGCGTTTGTCAGCTTGTGTGCGTAATTTAAAGTTGTACTTTGCACCGATGCTAATTAGACAGCCATCAACATTGGGGGCCAAAAGCTTACTAACAATGCAACAGTGATAGCTGAGTCTTTAATTGGCAGAGTATCATTGTCATTAGGCAATGATAGGGACATCTGGGGCTCTGGAGAGAGATTGATTTTGGCGTCGCTACTCGAGCTTTCTGCAGCTTTGTCTTTTTAGGGGGGGGGAGAGGGTGGTATCCAGGAAGTTGCCAACCTCTTCAGCCCTACTTGGTTGGGCTAGCACCCAGCACCTTTCCACCACTTACAGTCTACCCAGCTGAAGTACTTCCTTTGTTTGTGTTCCCTTTTCCTCCTCTGTCTGTAAAATGAAGAAACCAATGTGGATGTTGCCAGGTAATCAGTGGTTGTACCATATCTCAAATAAGTGACACCACGGATCTACCCCAGCTTTTCTTGTTTTAGTTAAAATAGCCATGTGTTGTTAAGGGCTGGGAGTTATTTTCCCAGGCTCGACCAAACTGGGAGACCATCTCTTTCCTCCCCCCACAACCATGTTAGATGTTGAAAACAAGAACAATTGACCAGCATTGCCTGCTAAGTAAAGTTAGACTTCAAGACATCTGAAGTGGATGGGTAGAAGTAACAGCAACTTGAACAATGTCTTAGAAAAACAAAGTAGGACCTAGTTAAGTCTTGGATGGAAGCTTACCAAGAAAGATCAGGGCTGTAAGCTAAACTAGGAGGTTGCAAAACACTGTGGAAGAAAGCAATGCCAAGCCACTTCTGTGATGTTTTCAAGGAAACATCCTGGAGATATCCCTGAGGTCAAGCCTTACATGAAAGTAGACTTTATCTATTGTTATTGTGAATGGACTTTTGAAGGCATGGGCCTTGACAAGCAAGCATATATGAATGTCAGGATTAATCAATGAAAGCAGCCTTCTCCAAATGGGTTCTCTCCAGATGTGTAGACTTCATTTCCCAGAGTTCTTGACCAATATGCAGGGAATTCTGGGAGTTGAAATCCACATGTTTAGTAAGCATCCAGATTAAATAAAATAATAAAATAAATAAAACATGGTTGTGATTATTGTTTATTTTAATTATTTAAAATTAATTAACACTATATACACTTGTAAACCACTAGGACTCTTAATTGAATTACGGCAGTATACAAACAGATAAATAAAATACTAATCATCTGTTAGTTTGGCCAGTTGTTTTCATGGTTCCAGCTACTGTTTTGGACTAGACCTTCCATAAATTAGGTGTGAGGTATGGATTGATTTTTTTTATGTGGACCAGATTAAAAATGGTAGCATTCTTAGCATCTTGTTGTCTTTGTAGTCATCAGAGAAGTTCACTGGTTTCATCTCAAGTTGTTTTTTAAATGGGTTGAATGATTTATGGGCTGCAGGATTCTGGGAAGTGATATCCACACATTTAAAAGGTGTGGGGAAAAGTACCATAATTCAAACTCTCTACTGTAGTGTTCTCCAGAACCATTGCTTCCTTATACTTCTTAAACTCTACTGAACCTGTCCGGGTGGTGTCACGTTGACCACAGAAAGGCCAGCCCTTAGAGAATGAGTTTGGTTCTTAAAATTGAAGATACACAGCCAAGGAACTATGATTTGTGATTTTACTTTAGTGCTGTGTGCTCAATGAGAAGGAGAAGCAGGGTTCCAGGTTCCTTTTTTAAGAAGGAGTATACAGTGTTGGGTGGAACAGTGTTTTCCTTTCTTCTTGCCCTTCATTGTAGAGAGAAGAACCTTGGGAAAAGATTGGCCATGTGTTCTTGGCCGTTATAAACGATGTATGAACTACAGGAAAGAGAGAGGTTCCCTTCTGAATTTCCTTGGTGAGGCACAAGCCCAGCCACTGGCAGAGCAAAGGAAGAGGTTGCCCACCCTCCTTTGCAGAAAGGGCCTCTGTCCTCCCAGGAGGGAACCTTGGATCCAAACCAAGCTCAAGGCTTGCGACCGAAGAGACCTTGACTCCTGCAGCTTTTGGAACCCGGGCTCGGCTTTCTGTTCCAGATACACGTCAGGCGATGTGAAGCTGTGGGACACGCGCACCTGGGACTATTCGGCCCCCGTCCTGGAACCGGAGCACGGCTCGGTGGAGCTTGGCCCCCGGCCACATGCCTCCTTTGTGAGAATAAACAGCTCCCTGGCTGTGGCAGCCTACGAGGATGGTAAGTTAACAGCAAATCTGTCCTAATATTGTGTTTTAAAAGCTTTCTGGAAATGAAGCAGCTGTGCCCAGCTTTTTTTCCTCTTCTTTCTTTCATTCTTTCTGAGAGCAATTCTAATCCTCTCTGTACACACACGTGTGTGCGCTCACACTTGCTTTTATGTGGGAAAGTTGGCTGATAACCTTCATTGCATTAGGAGGCCTTGGATCGCGGTGCCCATTAAAACGATGGCTTTAATTCCTCCTGGAACCGCAGCTTGGAGGATTGGTGCCAGGCTGCAGCCTGGCCAAGCTTGTCATGAGCAAACAACTTGTTTTGGCCTGTCTGATTTTGTTTCTTTTCCTCGAGATGTAGGGAAGTAGGCCGGTAAGACAAAGAGCAAATCAGATGTTGTACTGTAGATGCAAATCCTTCGCCTTCTGTCTCTTCCATTCTCCTACCATCATCACCACATGTTTCTTTGCACACCAAGATTGTGGAGCAAAATAATGTATCTGGAACCTTTGATCTGATTGGTTCCTGTAGATAACAAGAAGAGAATGTTTGCCCCACAAACAAGATGTGTAGATCTTTGGCCAAAAAAAAAAATGGGGTGCTGATTTGGTCATTCCCATAGAAGGGAAGATCTGCCTGGATTCAAAATGAAGTAAATTCGGTGCACTTTTGCCACTGCACATTTTCAAACAGGACGGATGTGTCAGTTGCCAGAAGGAAGATGGCTGCCTGTAGGCTGAGTTAGGGGGAAAAAAACCACTGACAAAACTTGTGCTGATTGTGCTTTTTTAATATGCAAAATAAATGAAAAGCTCTTTTATTCCCAACACCCCAGGCAGTTCTCATTCTCAGTTTGTTAGACAGAGAACATTCAGTAAAACACACTATTCCCAAATACCAGTGATTTCCTAGTAAAATCACATTTCACAGCCAAAGTCTCCCCTTCCCTTCCCTTCCCTTCCCTTCC